ACAAACGCACACACAGGTGAATCGCTATATGCCACCGCATCGCAGATGCTGCGGTGGCATAAAAATGACACAAAATTGAAAAGAATTCCAACGCTTTTCACTCAAATCGGGATAGGAATAGCACAAAAATACGATTTCACTTTATTCTTGAGTTTTTTCTTTTTATTTGTTGCATGTCTTACTGATTTAAGTGCACCAATTGGTCTATGTAAGAATTTCAAATCTTTGTTAAGAGCATCATGGACATATGTGGAGTTCCTTTAACAGACTAAAATGATATATGTAATATGGTTTTATATATTCGTACTTACATTTATTTATCATCTTTAAAACCCTCGACACACTTTCAAGCGTGCACTTTCCCTGTATGAGGAAAGCATATCCGTATATGTAATGCAGCTCATCAGTTATGTTTCGAAAGGTGCTTCTAAACTGATCGCCGTGTGTGATATCTAAAATATGCACTAAGCCTCCAGGAGAAGAACATTTGAATGACAAAATTATGCACTTTTGTTTAACTTCAACCGGTTCCACATCTGGATGTGCGGCAATGCTAGCTACTAGTTTGTCTGTATCTCCTCTTAGAATATCTGATGCTTGATCTAAATTTTGTATGGAAGCTTGCAGGTTGTTTTCCAGTAAGTTTTCTGCTCTTTTCTTTATTTCTTCATTTTCACATGATGTCAGCAGTTTAAACTCAAAAACTGAAAAAAGGCAGAAGAAAAACTTAACTGCGATGACTATACATGTGTGTTGTTAAACAATTTTAGTGAAATCGTATTATGTATAAAAATTGCAGACATTGTTAAATTCTTATTTAATGTCTTATTCTATTTTATCTCTTCTATACTCACCATGTTTTTGATTGAACGTGATATATTTTTGGCTCAACTTGTTCAGGCTGTCTTTCAATTCCGTTATAGTTTCTGCAAAAAAGAATTGTTTTTATATAATTTTGTGTATTGTTCACAAAACGTTGTAAATTTATCACAGAATAAATGTTTAAGAAATATTGCAGATAAATGTGTTTCCATTAGAAATACTTATCAAAATATGTATGATTACCTAGCAATATATGCATTCTTAGAAATAAATTAATTTACCTTTGTAGACATCGTTCAAAGTTTTCTCTTCAACACCAGATTCCCTTATCTGTTTAAAATACTCTTCAGCGTCACATCCTCCTTCGTCTTCTTTCTTATAGCGCTCAATAAGATTTTCAACTTGTAGTTTGTCGTCATCAGCAATGTTTCTTGAAAGATCTTTTAGGCAAACGATAAGATCAGTCCAATTCATCATAAAGTCATCTGCATCAAGAGACTGCAATGCAAGGACAGCATAATTTACCCTAGCACTTTTGATGAGCCCTATATTCATGATTTCGTTTTGACTTAGATCATCATCAAACGTGAACAGCAAAACTGATGCCAGAAGAAAAACATCCCACTTTTTATAATCTGAACAAGACTCTTGTTGGAAGAGGCAACTGGTAAATTTCTCTTCAATATTTCTAGTCAGTGTTTCCTTCTTTTTTTCAAGAAATTCCAATAGGTCATTGTCACCCAACTTTTTCTTCAGTATCCCACATAACACGATATGCCCTCCATCGAACAAAAGTTTAATGTAACGTACAAATCTCTCCGGTGTTGTTTGGAAATATACCTGAAACTCTACAATAAAATGAAAGAGAGATGTGATTAGCCATATATATTGATAAGAAAATGAAAGAAAGAAAAAAGTTATCAGTTTTTTTTCACTTAAAATTGGGAAAAAACCTGGCCCCCCTTTTGATTTGGGAAAAAAAAAATTGCAAAAAATTTTGTTTGGGGAAAAGTTGCAGGGTTTTTGTTAAATTATTTTAGAGTTTGACTTGTGTAAAGTTGCTGCAGACCCATAGAAAGTATAGTTACAAGTATGCAAATAAGACTACAAGTTTAAATTTTGTCAAATATTAATCTTACATACAAATATGTAGAAATAAACAGTGCTTATAAAATAAATTCCACTTTAATATATTAATATGTTTTAAACTGAAACATTTGAGAGAGATATAATTGTAACTGCTGAACTAATACGTAATTTGAAAGCATTTACCTTTTCTTGATGGCGATCAAAATCTTTTTTGTTGCTAAGCAACTCATCCAGTAACCTCTTCACTTTAGCATTATCTGTATCTACATTTATGTGTTTGTATTTATTTATTCTTTGTTCAAAGTTTTCACTAGGTTTCGAGTCAACACGTTCAACCACTCTCAACAAGATAGCTGTAATTTTTGCCCAGGTCTTTTCATACTCTGCCTCCGACAATTTAGCATCCGCTCGATGACCTATAATCTTGTTTCTGACATCTCTCAATTGAAGAAGATCAGCACCAAGACCTTCATCTTTCGGGTGTGGTTTAGTTTGCCAACCGCTTTGTGGTTTTTGTTTATTATCTTTACACAAATTAAGTATAAGTCTTATCAAGAGAGAAATATCAAATCTCTCTAGATTTAAACCTTGACCAGAAACCAGATCATAGTCATACCTGTTTATGACATTTTTTTGAAATAGTTCCCTCAATATATTTTGCTGCTCTGGAGATGAGAGAAAGTCTGTTATGTCTTCACTTTTTATCAAGTATTTGAACACTTTAAATAATACTTCTCTTGTCAGGTCTGTGTACATAAGACTAGTTCTAATGTAATACGTTCTCTCTTCAATTTGCATTGAAAGCGAAATAGGTGTCTGATATACATTCTCCATCAACAAACGTTCTGAAAAAAGTTTAGATTAAAAATGCTGTGAGTATTTTACACAATACTGTTTTAGTTGAAAGTGTTATAACTCAGGTTATAATTGAGAATTCTAAAATATGTAAATAAAACAAAATAAAACAGATTATAGGGCATTTTCCTGATATTTTTTAATTATCTTTTCATATATTAAATCGACAGATATAAAACATTTGTAAAACATGGAAATTAAATACTGTTACAGTAACAGTATTACCTCCTTCAAAAAGCAATCCTCCTTTATAGCTGAAGAACCTTCATATATATACAGTTGCTGTTTTCAAAGCACCAGCATCAAGTTGTAGTTATGCTCCAGAAACCACAACTTTAACTGTAAAGATCATTGTGACCCTTACCTTTGACCTTATGACCCTAAAATCAATAGGGGTCATGTATTGGACATAGCTGTTCTTCCTATAAAATCTTACAGATGTAGGTTGATTAATACTTAAATTATTGAGCGGAAACCGTTTTCAGTTTAAAGTAATAGTGACCTTGACCTTTGACCTTGTGACCCAAAAATCAATAGGGGTCTTCTACCCAATATTGGAAATCATCCTATGAGGTTTGAAGACTGCGGGCCAAATGGAACTTAAGTTATGCTCCGGAAACGAAATTGCTAACGGACGGACGGCCGACAGATGGACGCCAGGGGGTATAACATAATATGCCCGAAATTCTTTCTGGCATATAAAAATGGTAAAGATAAACAAGACCGAAACAATTGATAAATATGGAGATGTGTCGCATTTTGCACCGGTCAAGTGTCATTAAAATCATTTGCTTCTACAGAGAAATAAAAAGGTATTTCTAATCTTAACAAAAAACAATCAATTCTGTCCCTAAAGAGCAAACAAACGTGGCACTTTTACATTGGCACCAGGAATGTTCTTTGCTGAACATATTAATATCGTCCACGTGTAACTAATGTTGTCAAGGCGCATTAGTTGACATTTGCGGCGGTGCCACTGTTTTTATTCTGCTGTAACACTTGTCAGGATTTATGAACGTAGTCATGCGCACCAGATTAAACAAATTGACAGTCAGCATGTGCGTATGGGACATCAACGTTTCCGTAATACTTTCTTAAAAGATGAACCTTAATTAAGTAAGACTTTCATGGTGAACGCATATGAGCCGATTCATTTCCGCTGTGTGGCTGAGCATGACCGATTTGAGGGTGTGTCAGACTTAGTATGAATATATCAAAATAGAGTCTTCCACAAGAGAAAAATGTAAAAATATACTATTTTATGGAGAAAAGTGACTCGCATTTAATATCTTAAACGCGATGATATCAGCGAAATTTTGATTTAAATGCATCCTGTGCTATACTTAAGTAAATTATTCATATGCATCATAAGTTAACAAACTTATATGTTCCAATTACATCTTAATAACTGAATTCTGTGTGTATTTAATTACAAAGAACACTGCTCATCAATTTAGTTTTTACTTTGAATAATTGTGACAGTTGCTGCTATAATAACTTAATATATAATATATTGTGTGTTGACATTAAGTTATTTATACACAAAATGAATTTTGTTGAAGTGTTACATCTGATTTGTTCTACATTTTTAATATACATATCTGGTTCAACTGCTAGTAGAGGACTCATCCTCAAAGTCTTTGCCTAATTAATTCGAACCATTAATAGTGCAGTAACGTCCCTACAAGATTGCAAAAGAAAGCGTTACCAAAAATAGATCAACAAACAACTCCTGCTAAAGCCCTGCACTGCCGGCACGCGACAATATCACGTGATTAATTGTTAGATTATTTTCTTATTTTTGTTATGCCATTTGTGGCGATGAAATTGATTTAAAATATGATAATATATCGTCGTTTTTTGTGTAAAAGTGTATTCAAAACAGTCGAATCTAAATGGTATTCTTTTCATAATATAACAAAAATATACATTGTATTTCGTGTTTTGCTTTAAACCTTACTACTTAAATTACTGATATGATATTATTCAATTGTTCGGTTAATTGTAAATTTGTATAAGATACAATCATTGTATTATAAATGAATATCATATAACACCTCATTATTAGATAAAGTACTGCGCACAAGGGGATGGTTAAATATTATGGTCTCTTCGTGCATTTAAATACCAAAATAAATCCTCTTTTGGTATTCAATCACTTGAAATTAATGCAAAATGAACAAATATTGTTCATAGAGAATCAAGATGAAAAAATCATTGATTTGATGAATAAGATTCGTTAATACACAGTTTTGAATACCAATTGTTGAGTTTGTGGTTTATCATGTTATTTAAAGTTGTCCTCTTCATGAGAGGCTCCAACATTTTTCTGTTTGAATAGTGTTAAAAGTAAACGAAGACATAATGCCTGTTCTTTTTATTTTAGCAAAAAATATAGCTATGCACATAAGTAAATAAAATGGGATTTTGAAAGGACATCAGTGGTTAAGAGTATTTTACAGCTATGATACGAAGGCTCATCTCTGAAAGTGTTATAGAACATGCATTTTTTACATGCGATGGAAAAACGTTTAATTGTAAAACGGTCTAAATGTTGTTAAATTGAAATAAGAATACTTTAATTCTTCAAAACACCTAATACCAGTATAATATTTATCATATGAGAGCCTTAAATGTTGTTTGTTTCCCATACCATTACTTACCCACTAAATTTCACTTGGACTAAAAGTATACTTCCAAATTTTGTTTGTTTTTATTCATTGTGGAAGTAGCGTCAGTCAATTAGAGTCACATCTTTATATTGTGTTATGTATATCTTTTGTATGGCACATTAATGTACAAGAGTATATTTTGTATATTTTGAATACAAATTTGATACTCAAGTTATAAACCATAAAAATAATTATATTGGACTGGATTTCCAATTCCAATGGGCATTATCTAGAAGTATTTTAAATTAATATTGATAAAACAACAGATATGCATCCTTGAAATGTTCTTTATTTTTCTAAACAAAAAAAAGTTTGTTCTTGAACAGTAACGGTTATAAAAGCCGGATCATACCAAAAAACATTCCTACAATTCTTTCGCAGTTTGTTGATACTAAATACTTAAATAAACTTAATCATCTATGGTATTGGATTCCTTCCTTTATGGAACAATTCATTTTTATGATAAGAATTTACAATATCATTAAATAAAGATAACAATACGTTACAATATAAATGTCCGCTAATGGTTCAGTGGGGAAAAAAACCTTGAAGAATGTGTATCACAATAAGTATAATTTAAGTATGATTTAATGTCTAGTTTACAGCTTAGTATATATCTAATCTTACCTCAAAGTTTACATCGGCAATGATTCATGGATATACTACTTTCTTTTGCTATCTAATCTCGTTGCAGTTTCGCTTTAAGATGATTTCATTCTCATTATAAGATGCCTTGTGCTAAAGTAGAAATATACTTTAAAATTAATATGCAGCATCCTGCAATCTATACACATAAGAATAATAATATAAGAAAATAACATAAAGAATATACTGCCCAAACTGCTACTTCAAAACTGTTCAAAATATCGATTTTAACTCACCAAATAATCAATCAAGAATCACCTTATTAATTACATCCATCCGATTTATAGGCATTTACAAGAATTACATAAAGATATCTACATGATGGAATTCATTTTAACTTTGCAAGAAACAGTTGTCGATAAGCTTTTCAATTTAGTACCTAAAGCAGACCATATGTTGAAATTGTTTAAGAGATGAACTGTCGAAAGATATATGTTGTAATTATATATAAATAACACATAGGGCAACGAGGAAAATACTCTTGTCAAAGGTTACAGTATTTTTACGAGCGAAATTTTTGATGATATATTTCTCTGGTTTTTACATATTGTTAAAGTGTATTTAGGCGTATTGTCTACTTTTTATATTCCAAATGCACTAAGGTTTGATAGGAGATTAGAAGTTTTACAACAAGATTACAACATAATACATTTTAGTTGCAGGTATTATAACTTAGGTTATAATTGCTTTTTAATTGTTAAATAAAACAGGACCACTTATAAACATAACCACAGATTTTAGAGCATTTTCAAATCTTGTATTTATCTACTTTTTATCTTTTCATAAATATAATAGAAAACATTCAACCTATCAGAATGCTAAATGTTAGGAAGATGGCTAAAATATACAAGACCAAAAGGGGGGAGTAGTTGACATTAGCTGCGCGGTGCAGCTGATAGGATACTGCTGTCACACATACAATATTGTTTTGTAATGCATTCATAGCCACCAGATTTTTGCAGTTTGCCCGACAGGACGTGTATATAGGACATCAACGTTTGCCTTACATTGTTTTACAGCTTAATCTTAAATCAAACAAGAAACATGGCAATGCCATGAAACCAGGTTTTCAATTATCACCATTGTAGATAAATATGTTGTATTTGAAATACAAATACAAGCAACAAACAATGTAACTATGTGCAATGTAAAACATGAATAATGTAGGAGGAATTGCCACTGAAGAAGTGTTCACTATAATATTATGTATAAGGAAAAAAACAAAGGGCCATAATTAGGTCAAAAACTATCCAATCACAAAACCCCGACAATATGTGCCAGGGTGCTTGATGACAAAGCTTCTGTGAAAGTTTGAACAAAATCCGTTGAGAAATGTAGGACGAGTTCAGCACAGAAGAATTTGTTCACTATAATTATATTGATAATTCTGTATAATGAAAAACAAGTTACAAAGTAGACATGAAATAATATATCATATCTTTTTTAAATTACCTCCAAAGATGATATGACCTTTGACTGCCAAATCAAGTTAAAATCATGTAAACAGGATTTTCAATGTTAATGTCACTGTGACCTTGACCTTGGAGCCAGCCATGCGGAACATGCGTTCTGCACGTCATCTTGATGTGGTAAACATTTGTCTGAAGTTTCATCAAAATTCTTCAAAGGGTTGAAGAGTTACAGAGCGGACAGGATTTTCAATGTTAATGTCACTGTGACCTTGACCTTGGAGCCAGCCATGCGGAACATGCGTTCTGCACGTCATCTTGATGTGGTAAACATTTGTCTGAAATTTCATCAAAATTCTTCAAAGGGTTGAAGAGTTACAGAGCGGACAGGATTTTCAATGTTAATGTCACTGTGACCTTGACCTTGGAGCCAGCCATGCGGAACATGCGTTCTGCACGTCATCTTGATGTGGTAAACATTTGTCTGAAGTTTCATCAAAATTCTTCAAAGGGTTGAAGAGTTACAGAGCGGACACAATTTCGTTTGACGCCCGCCCGCCCATCCGCCCAATGTCACTGTGACCTTGACCTTGGAGCCAGCCATGCGGAACATGCGTTCTGCACGTCATCTTGATGTGGTAAACATTTGTCTGAAGTTTCATCAAAATTCTTCAAAGGGTTGAAGAGTTACAGAGCGGACAGGATTTTCAATGTTAATGTCACTGTGACCTTGACCTTGGAGCCAGCCATGCGGAACATGCGTTCTGCACGTCATCTTGATGTGGTAAACATTTGTCTGAAGTTTCATCAAAAATTCTTCAAAGGGTTGAAGAGTTACAGAGCGGACACAATTTCGTTTGACGCCCGCCCGCCCATCCGCCCAATGTCACTGTGACCTTGACCTTGGAGCCAGCCATGCGGAACATGCGTTCTGCACGTCATCTTGATGTGGTAAACATTTGTCTGAAGTTTCATCAAAATTCTTCAAAGGGTTGAAGAGTTACAGAGCGGACAGGATTTTCAATGTTAATGTCACTGTGACCTTGACCTTGGAGCCAGCCATGCGGAACATGCGTTCTGCACGTCATCTTGATGTGGTAAACATTTGTCTGAAGTTTCATCAAAATTCTTCAAAGGGTTGAAGAGTTACAGAGCGGACACAATTTCGTTTGACGCCCGCCCGCCCATCCGCCCAGCCGACCTTGGAGCCAGCCATGCGGAACATGCGTTCTGCACGTCATCTTGATGTGGTAAACATTTGTCTGAAGTTTCATCAAAATTCTTCAAAGGGTTGAAGAGTTACAGAGCGGACAGGATTTTCAATGTTAATGTCACTGTGACCTTGACCTTGGAGCCAGCCATGCGGAACATGCGTTCTGCACGTCATCTTGATGTGGTAAACATTTGTCTGAAGTTTCATCAAAATTCTTCAAAGGGTTGAAGAGTTACAGAGCGGACACAATTTCGTTTGACGCCCGCCCGCCCATCCGCCCAATGTCACTGTGACCTTGACCTTGGAGCCAGCCATGCGGAACATGCGTTCTGCACGTCATCTTGATGTGGTAAACATTTGTCTGAAGTTTCATCAAAATTCTTCAAAGGGTTGAAGAGTTACAGAGCGGACAGGATTTTCAATGTTAATGTCACTGTGACCTTGACCTTGGAGCCAGCCATGCGGAACATGCGTTCTGCACGTCATCTTGATGTGGTAAACATTTGTCTGAAGTTTCATCAAAATTCTTCAAAGGGTTGAAGAGTTACAGAGCGGACACAATTTCGTTTGACGCCCGCCCGCCCATCCGCCCGCCATACCCCAATCTAATAACCAGGATTTTCAAAATTGAAAACCTGGTTAATAAAGCTTTCATATTTGACTCGAATGAGTCTAGAGAACAATCAGCGAAGTCAATATATTACTGCTGCGGAGCATTTGAGGATGTGTCAAACCTGGTACCTTTACGTCATTACGTAATCAGAAAAGGGACATTTGACGTTGTTCGTTACGTAAACGATATACTATGAAATATTTGTGAAACCTTTCGCCAAAGACGGGTCTTTTTACATGTATGCATAATATTTGAGAAGTGCATATTTTGTCTTGTCATTTCCGTTAATTTATTTCGACCTTTACAGTCACCTAGCTAAATTTATACGAATTCTAAGTTTACAGGACTAGGACGGCTCATTTTTCGTGCAATAATTTTATGATGACCTTTAGTATTGAATAATTTATCGGCCAAATAAACCCGCCAACTAAGTACATTAGCATTTATTCGTCAACGTTTCTAATTTCTGAAGAACTTACACTTTTATTAGATTTTGACGATTGTTTCCCAAAGTTGACATCCTAAGCGTTAAATTTGTCAAACTATATATATAAAACTCCCTGTTTGTACGGCAAGAGAGTAAATGAATTTCAATTTGCAACATAAAAGGAATATAAATGATAATAGTTTCCCACTAATCGATATTATTGAGGTTTTTTCAAATAAAGACTATGTATAACTGATCTTTATTATTGATCCAAAAACTGTTTAAAATATTGATTTTACCTTTCTAAAAATGTTTTGCAATAGTTTAAAAGTTTGACATATGTTTTTTTATTCTTCAAATATATCCAGTAGAGATGTTACTGCAATACACCGATATACGTAGTATTTAAGGTTATATATCTATAGAAGTAGAGCAAAATGATCAGAGATCAAACAAAAGATCAGATTACCTAGTTTTATTTACCTAGTGTTTATTTCAATCCTAGGTCACAGGCAATATAAAATGACATGTAATGTAATAAAACATTTATGTTCACTTATTTAGATTAAATAGGGAGACATCTTATTTCCATTGCAAACTGTGTGACACATTTTAAAAACAGCCCATTTTTTAAGAAAATGTGTATAGTTTAAAAAGAACATTATGCTCATTTTTTATTGTCAAGTTGAGCAGAAATGACTATGTATTTTGGAAAATTGACTTTCATAATAGTGAGAGACCAACCAACTGTTTACAGCAATGCATGTTTTGGATAATATCTGCTTGAAATATGTATAAATAAACAGCCAGATTCATTTTAGAAAATTGAACGTTACTGGTACATGTGTATTAATTGTTTGTGCGAAGAAATTATAAAATTGAAAGGAATTATCGCAAAATATGAACTTTTTTTAATATCACCACTTCACTCTTTATATACACTTAGATGAACATAATGTTACTTTAAGTAAAGAAGAAAAAACAAATAAACTAATTGTTAGAACATCAAAACACTCGGCAATCTGATTAATCTGACAAATCAGATAGTCTCGTGTTTCGATGCTCTTTCTATTACTTAGCTTTATGTTTAAGGTTACCCGACAAAATTGAAATCGTAAGATATGCAAGTTTTATACTTATAGACGTAACTGATGTCATACAAATACCATCATCGTACATTTAAATTTAGATTTAAAATTCAAAGAGTTTATAATAAAAGCGCTACTGAATTAATATATCAACTCATACATTCTTCAAAATGAAATCACGCTCCGCTCTAGTCCAACTAATTGTACTGCGCGACGAGATATTGTGCTATTTTCGTGTCTGGGCAATTTATGTATTGTCCAGAACAGGGAAAGAGCAGTCTAGATCGAACTCGTTTGCCATAGGGAAAATATAAACAAACACATGTGTTGAATGAAAAAGGGCATTTATTGAAAATGCCATAACTGACATTAATTAAAACTATTACATATAAAACATGTTATAATAATTTTCCAAATGGTAAAACTGGGAGGTTACAAAACCGCCCACAATATATCTTGATACAAGATAACATAATAAAGTAATCAAAAGAAAGGTACAACTATTCTAACATATGTAGAGATACAATAAAATTAATGATATAGTAAAGAAACATACTAGTACAAGAAAAAAAAAAATAGGTGCTACAATTCTACTAACAGGCATAAAGATATGTAACAATTACAAGAAAATGTAATATTAACAAAAACCAATGTTATCTATTATGAAAGTAAGTTAACCAGAGCTGGGTAACTGTTAAAAAGGTGGCGGACTTAGGGGAGGTGGAGGAATTTCGTTGAAAAAATTGGCGAGAACTTCTCCTTCGCCATAAAATATTCGCTATGAAAGCTTACGAGCCCTGATTGGTTCGAAAGCATCACGTGATCTCAAGTCACGACCTCATTGGCTAAAAAGTTAATTTATGTAGAAAGCTAAAAACTGATGTTGACCGTAACAATTCAGTAATAGGGAAAATTTGTAATCAAGAGAAAAAGGGGGCCAACGACATAAATTATTTTATGTGTTCATAAAATCTTATTTATGTATTGTCCAGAACAGGGAAAGAGCAGTCTAGATCGAACTCGTTTGCCATAGGGAAAATATAAACAAACACATGTGTTGAATGAAAAAGGGCATTTATTGAAAATGCCATAACTGACATTAATTAAAACTATTACATATAAAACATGTTATAATAATTTTCCAAATGGTAAAACTGAGTGGCGGTTTTTACCTCTCAGTTTGGTTATTTCGATACAAATATGTACATGCCATGTTTGTTATTATGTAACATTTGTCATGTTTGTTATTTAAATATTATGTAACATTTGTCATTTATGGCATTTAATAAATGCCCTATTTCATTCAACCTAAGTGTTGTGTTTTATCTCATACCAAACAAGTTCGTCTTGCCAGTTATATTTGCTTGACCTGGACAATACATATGTAACACATGGTGTTATAACACAGGGTAGATGTGGTTATTTATTTATTGTTTTTAATTTACATATACAGTTAATATTATGTTATGACGAATATACAATATATTTTTACTTTTGTAAACCAGGGGTCGTCAGTTCGATCCTCACTGGGGGCTCCATTGTAACACATGGTGTTATAACACAGGGTAAATGTGGTTATTTATTTATTGTTTTTAATTTACATATACAGTCAGGGGTTTTTTTTAGGAAAAGGGGAAGACGCTGGACGCTGGTAGGGAGGGGAAAAATATACGAAAAAAGTCAATTTGGGGAAACTTTATTATGACGTTATTTATACTATATACTTATCTACATAGTAGAGAGTTACAACTATATCTTTTTCCCCTTAAAAACTTAATCATCATGCAAAATATTCTTTGCAGTATAACATATTTTCTTAATATGTATGGTGGTGAATGGTTTTTATACTTCTATTTTTGTATGAAAGTTAATACAGTATAGGTATAATAGTGTATCTGTGACACACTTTAGCTCCATATGAGTCATTTTCATAATAAGAAGTACAAATTATATTACTTTACTAAAAATAACCAAGAAAATGACAATATTTTGATAGCAACTGATTTCCAGAAATAGTACCGTTCAGTACGGGATATAGCCAAGAAAAAAAATGGCTGCCTCCATGTTGAGACAGTACTTGCAGTTTCCTGCAATGTTTTTGGTTATTTTGAACAACAATTGGTGGTTTATCCTGCATAAAATGAAGAAAAATAATATTTTAAATCATGTAATTATTAAATCTGATCCAGTTTAAAGGAAAACTAGAATTTTTTGGGGGAAAAAACTTGGCTATTTACCGAGGGGAAGACGCCGACTATCGGTGTCAATTTGTTAGTAAAAAAAACCCCTGAACTCCATCCTCCTCTTTCAATTTTTGATGTTGATATAAATACCATTTCATTAATTCTTAATGAATCAGTTGTTTCACTTCTTGTTTATCTCAAATTTTTTGTGCAACTATTCATGATATACACTATATCTATATCTATATATATATATATATATATATATATATATATATATATATATATATATATATATATGTATATTGTTTATGCAAAGATTTATAAAACTAGTCGATGTTATATTATCTCTTTCAAATATTTTTCTATTTGTTGTCATAAATACTTATGATCTAGTCATATGTAATACACTTATTCATGTATAGAATGTTTAAAATATTTTCCAAGGATGGAGCCCTACATCAAGTGGTACTAGACACAAGATTAAAGGGCACAGGTTTCCAAACTATGGTTTTTCCTGGGCGAGTCGACCACGATTTGGAAAATATTTATTTTTTCTGGTCAATTGTTTTTGATCAGCAATCCTTTTTATTATATTTATGTAGATGGTTTTTGGTTCAACTTTGTCATCTTAAATAACTTTTGTTAAGATTGTTATCTATTTGAATTACTTTACAATGTTATCATAATCTGGCAGTTTTTACCTCCCAGTTTGGTTATTTCGATACAAATATGTACATGCCATGTCTGTTATTATGTAACATTTGTCATGTTTGTTATTATGTAACATTTGTCATGTATGTTATTATGTAGGCGGTTTTTACCTCCCAGTTTGGTTATTTCGATACAAATATGTACATGCCATGTTTGTTATTATGTAACATTTGTCATGTTTGTTATTATGTAACATTTGTCATTTATGGCATTTAATAAATGCCCTATTTTTTACCTCCCAGTTTGGTTATTTCGATACAAATATGTACATGCCATGTTTGTTATTATGTAACATTTGTCATGTTTGTTATTATGTAACATTTGTCATTTATGGCATTTAATAAATGCCCTCGGCGTTTGTTTACAGCTCGCGTGAAAATCTGCCACTTTACACTGGAAATGGAGACAAAAACGGGGTCGCCGCCCCAACAATTAACGTCCACCAACTTCTAATAACAATAAACTAATATATTGCGATAATGTTTCACCTTGAAACAAAGATACTAATGTAAAATCTTGAGAATTTCGTTGAAAAAATTGGCGAGAACTTCTCCTTCGCCATAAAATATTCGCTATGAAAGCTTACGAGCCCTGATTGGTTCGAAAGCATCACGTGATCTTAAGTCACGACCTCATTGGCTAAAAAGTTAATTTATGTAGAAAGCTAAAAACTGATGTTGACCGTAACAATTCAGTAATAGGGAAAATTTGTAATCAAGAGAAAAAGGGGGCCAACGACATAAATTATTTTATGTGTTCATAAAATCTTATATCTCGCCTCTACGTACAACATAAAAAGTACCTTTTCTGTGGTGATATTTGGGCCAGGATTTTGAGCGCAAGCTTTGGACCGTGTAAAATCGTATTATAATTCATATTTGAATAAATTTGTTACGATACCTTTAAAGATTATTCATTTCTACATCAATTTCATGTTTTATTTGTGAAAATCTTCCTAACATAAAGATTTTGATAGAAAAGTAAACACATGCACCATCAAAATAAAGACATCGCCGCTAATGTCACGTGACAAATACACTGTTGATAACTACACTGGTGTGTATGCGGTACTGCGTTACTGAGAAACGACGAAACACTCTTAGTAAAATATCAAGTTTAATGTTATATTTAAGACATTTATTTATGCAAAAATTAATAATTATGATAGGATGAAAATATTATTTTATTGGAGCAGATGCACAACTTATTCGTTATTGTCAGAGCGTTCTTAGAAATATCAAAATCATTATTATCGTTTATAGAAAAGCTACTCTGTAAATGGACTCCTCACTAAACCGTTTCTTGTTTATAAAAAAAATATTTTGGTCAGCTTTCCAAGGAAATATAAGACATGGGACCTATTGGTATCTATAGAATTTTTTTCCACGGTTATGATGGAAATAGGGATATGATAAGAGCAGAAACATGAGGTTTATATGTTTAAAGAGCAACGTACGGATTCCTAGTGCCTTTGCGACTACGAGAAAACACCATTCTAAGGAATTTAACAGTCTGTTATTTATAATCAGGTTGATTAACTATTAAACGATACTTTCAACGTTCAAAATAATTTTTATCAATAATAAAACGAATAAGCGTCAAACGCGGTGCCTCGACATTATACATGTATGTGCGAAAACAAAATTCCACGTAAATTTCTTTTTTTAAATCTATTCACGCAGGCCCATAATTCTGGATAGTTTTCTCCAAAAGCTTTCTGAAGATGTTTTTTTTAGAAAGAAAAAGACACACACAAACGAAGGTCATTTTAAAATGACCGGGGTAGCAGAGAAAAAATACTCGGAAATTTATTTCATGAAACAGGTGCCCCGCCTTATTTTGCTGTTGTTATTGTTTTTTGTTTTGTTTTGCAAAAGACTTTCATAATGTTGGTATACAGTAAATATTTATCCCATACAATTGACTTTTATGCTAAGAAATTATTTTCTTTCATAAAATACATGCATGGCGAGGTGATTTGAAGAATCAACGCGGTTATTTTACAATGTTACATAAACAAAACGCTGCGCCGCTAATTTCTTTCACAGACACTTTGGAGCTTTAAAATCCAAATAAAATGTATATTTGTCAATACCAGCACATGTACTGATCATATATGTATGAAAAACTAAATGTAAGCCATTTTGGAAAAAAAATATATTTCAACGTCTATAATAATCACTGCGGTATACCGTACCCCGGATATTGCTCGATATAATGAGGACTTTCATCCCATTTCGCGACTTTGAACGAGGACAGAAGGTAAGTTCAGTGACGATATTTAGTCATTTTGAATTGGTTTGATATAACTTTTATAGAAAAACAAATACTTCGATAACTTTTCTAGTTACTGAAAACCCAAAAATGTTGAGAAATAGCTTTGAAATGTAATTAGGAGGTAAAATTCGTCTCTTTGCTCACGTGATAAATGAGCTCGAATCAGTCAAATTTGATATTTTTGTGCATATACTTCCTTAAAAGAAAAACTTGAATCGAGTGAAATGTGATAATGATGATAATGTTTATGTTGTAAATGTTCAATCAACAATAGAACCTCAGATGACAGTGCATTTTGAGAATAAATACACATGTCAGTGTACCGAGTATTGCGTTAGAGTTGCCCGCCGGTGTCACGAGTATTGCTTTTTAGTGTAACGGGTATTGGTTATAAATATAGAGTAAATGCAAGTAGTAAACACAGAGTATTTACCACATTAAATCTTAAATATTTCTTATTGTGTATACTGTACTTATTTACACTATATGTGCAGAATAGGCAGAGTTCGGGGATACTTTACTGGATACATCTACCAATAATGCAGATGTTCATTCCTGCTCCTGAAAAATCTCAGTCGAACGAACTCAGCAATTTTCTGTTTACAAAGTTCTCGTTGCTATCAAATGATCAACCTTTCCAGAATTTGTTAATAATTGTTGCATATCTCACTTTACATAGTAAAAAAGTGCATCCAAAGTGCATTAATGCTGCCTCAAGTTTGTCAATAGTGGACGGTATTGAGCAAGTGTGTGTCACGGTTGAACTGTTCACTATAATTCCCGGGACGTTCGGAATAAAACCCTTTTTGCGGGCTAAACCCACTGAGGGTATCCGGGCCCCCTAAAAATCATACCCCCCCCCAAATTTGTGAAACCCCGTTTTTTGAACCCTGACATGTGCCAATATCTAATATCAACCGACTTCCTATGCCGAAAATCCATGTAAAAGTAACTTTCGGTCATTTTGCACCTGCACTCTAGCAACGACAAAACGTCTGCACGTGAAATTTGTTACGGTCATTAGCAATGAGTTTACCGTATGACTGCTAAACAAACGAATAATGGATTTTAGATAAAGGGCAGCAGATTCAATAAAAAGGTTTTGTTTATTATAACCTTTCACCTCATAAAGGCGTGTTTTGAAGGCTTTACACCCCCTCCCTTTTTTGAGGCCTCAAATAGTGTCAAAACGTGCGCTATTTAGGCCCCAAACACTGTTTTTTCGTTTGAGAAATGTTGTTAAAAAGAGTGATCACTTTTTCGGCGCCCCCCCCCCCCCCATTAAAGAGGTACATCAAGGGGATGCCACAAGGGGGCGGTGCGCACCCTTCTGTTTGGGGGTTTGAAGTGGGGCAGTAGCCCCTCTAATCGCCAAGAAGATTTGGGACTTGCGGGGGTGGGGCTAAAATGGCCTCAGGTCGATTTAAAGGTACCGTGAGACAATTTTGAGACGTCCCCCATTGCCATGGTAACTGGAAATTTAAAATTGAGCATGCTATTCCATAGGCTATGATCCAGCCAACATTTGTGCCCAGTTTGATCAGTATTAAAGCATTTTTTTTTATAGTTTCATAGCAGTTTGAACTTTAACATGAGGCTTAATTCAATGAAAACAGCCATTTTTTGCAATATGGCCATGCAGTTAAAGGTTAAGACGATACCAGCAGGCTTGGACGGCATAAGTCTGCGGCCAGTATTTTACTAAGTGTGTCGATATGTTTCTTAAGGCAATCCTGCCCTGTAAAAACCTATAATTAATGTCTTCTAAATATGTTTTTTTATTCTTCTTCTTTTCAGAGATGGGTCTCCTTGATCACAGTTTCTTAAGACATGTTTTTAAAGATTTTTATCGTCAATTTTGATGGTTCTACCCTGCTCCCGTACTGCTTCCGACCCTGAATACACTTTATTTCATACATGGTGTGATTTTCAATCAAATGGGAAATTAAATCTCTGTATTTGTCCGTAGAAAAAGAACAGTTTAACACTAAAAAATGCATTTTTGAATCTGAAATATTTGAAATAAATGTCATATAAAACAGTACTTGTCAGCAAAATAAAATGAAATCGATAAACGGACGTAAAAAAATAGACAAAAATATCGATTTTCCATACTAATGTGCTCATTCTGGTTTTGCAATACACTGTACACTTAAGTTGGGCTAATTTGCAATACTCTGTACACTTAAAATCAATACTCGTACACTTTCTTGTTATCTTTTTTGGCCTGTATCTTTCTGTAGCCTTCACACTTTTTGCCTGAAATTTGGACAAAGCATACTTTGGATTGTGAATTAAAAAAATGTGCTCCGATTCAATTTTTTTTAATTGGTAATAAAATTTAAACGATTCACAGTATCGCGGTCAGTATTTTTCCAGTGAGCAGCGGGTCGTTTAGGGGTAGTTTTAATCTCAATTTTACAAATACCCGGGTAAATACTTTTTATGTCTTTTAGAGCTTACAAAAATACCTCTAGATATATAAAACCCGTTTTAGAAAATAAATAGAATTAGTTTGGAAAATATCGTCGCTGAACTTACCTTCGTTCCCCGTTCAAAGTCGCGAATTGGGATGAAAGTCCTCATAAAATCGAGCAATATCCGGGGTACGGTATACCGCAGTGATAATACACAAGATAAAAATGTTCGCCGGAAAAAATCCGCACACCTGCCGTCAAAAACATCATGTATTTTATTCTGTTTCCAATATTTTCACAAAATCCTTTGGTCCACCGAACAAAAGATATAAATTTCATAGATGTCAATGGTCAATTTTTAACTTCAACGGTAATATAAACAACGCCAACGGCAAAATAAACATTCGAGATTATCGCCGTTTTTACTCCATTTACAAAATCTTTCGACAAATTCCCAAACGTGGCTCCATATACATTTTATTTGGATTTTAAAGGCGTTTTTGAGCTTCACACCCCCAAGTGTCTGTGATTTCTTTTGATTCTTGTCCAATCTTATAGATTTAAGGGTTATGCAACAAGTTTACTCATTTTAAACAATAATTGATACAGATTGTTAACTGCCCAAACACTAAAAAGGTGTTGCTTTGGAAAAACGAACTAAAAAAAAAATCGGTAATAAAACACGGCGCCTCCTCAGTTCTTTTTTTCTATATTTTTTTTTGAGTTTTTGTTAAAAGAACGAAAATTAATGATTTTAACTACCAGTAAAATTTAGAAAGAAAAACCAAAAAAAAAGTTCCTGATAATTAAATGCAACAACTCAAAATTAAATTTTCATTTTTGGAAAATTAAAGTATTGTAAGGGGGAAAGTACTGAGGAAACCGGGGTAACACTTTAAATTCTAAACATCGTTTGAAAAACTTTCAAATGTTTATAGAAAGAAATTTAAGATAAAATTATCGTCTTTGAAAAAAATATCAAGTATTTTTTATAATTAAAAATTAAAAAATAAATACATGTAATAAATCAAAAAAATAATTCTTTGAATTTGGACGTGTAGATGGAAAAGTGG